GTTTTCTAGTGAAGACCAGGTTAGGAAGGTCCTCGATGGTGAAAACCTACGATGGTGGGACTAGAGACCAAGATCACATTCAATGGCACATTATTTACTGAGAACTTAATTAATAAAAAAAAAATCTTAGGTACATAAATAGTTCATATTTATTTGATATATTGTATGCCGAACCCAAAATTATAATAAAATATAAATTTTGCTTTTTAGAACTTTTTCTATGCTATTCCAAATTATTCGACAGGAAATAAGAGTTTAATATTGTTTTCCGCTTCTCCGCCCTTCTCCACTTAGACTTACGAGGGCGGGCGGGACGCAGAGCGCGTCGTTGTTAAAAATAAACAAATTAAAATTTGTGGGTATTAATTATATAATATAAATAAATTATAAGGTATAACTGTCATTATGGTACATTTTCCCTTATTATTAAAAAAATATATAAATTAAAATAAAATTATATTTAAATCACAATTATTTTATAATAACATTTATTAGGTTTATACAAGACGTTACTTCAATCACGTAAGGGTTTATTTGCTAATTTGGTTCATGAGATCCATAACCGTATAAATTAGATAATATGAAATAAAATAAATATATTTATTACTATTCTCCATTACTCCCTGTATTTTTGCTTACAGTAAAATGTTATTATCCTTAGTTTTAACTATTTCTAACATTCACACAACATCGAATGTATTAAAAATTACTATAAATATAACTAATTATTTCAAAAAGTATAAAAATATAAAAACATGCTAAACAATAAGTACGTTATCTACATAAATTATACTCTTGAAGTATTATGTTTCAATAATAGTTTTACTTTGTAGGTACTGAAATGAAATGGCTTTAATTAAATACTATGAACACTCACATTGATAATATTTCTTATACTTATCTTAATGTTTTATAAGAATGTATACTCAATTATTTTTAGAAGAAAACGTAGCGATAAACAATTATTTAATTATAGCTTACTAGCAAAATGCTTTCGTTTCAATATAATTAAAATGATGTTTAACGTGTTATCCACAATCTTTCTTATCTAACACTAGCGACTCACCCTCGCTTCGCTCGGGTTCGTCCCTACCTTGGATCCTCATACAAACTTTCATCCCTATTTTCATCCCCTAAGGGATGATTTCCGGGATAAAATCCTATGTCCTTCCCAAGGTCTCAAACTATCTTCTTACCAAATTCCATCTAAATCGGTTTAGTAGTTTCGGAGCCTATTCAGTACAAACAAACAAAATATCAAATCTTTCCTCTTTATAATATTAGTATAGATTAGAGATGAATTTATGTAAAATAAATAAATATATATATCAAAAGTAGTCTTTGTTAGTAGTATCTGGTTCTTAGAGAAGTAAAACCATATCTGTGCTAAAAATCACGTAGTACCGTTGCTCAGTAACGGCATATAAAAAAACAAATCAATAAACAAACTGTCATATACCATTTAAGTCAGGATAGTACCTGTGGAAAAATAACAATAATATTATCATTAAAAAATAAATACAAATATAGTGTCAACAATACGACCAATTTTAGCTCTAGATAATTACTGGGCTTTAAAACTAATACTTTTATGTAGACGACTCGTTTTATGTAGATGGCTTTATTTTCTGTCTTTTGCTAATATCGAGACGATAGTTGGTTTTTAACCCTTTCAAAAATAAAATTTTAGATGAAAATCTTACAAAAGATACACATTTATATTTAGTTTATACAAGAATCGAATTTTTCATCTTTGAAATTACAGGCAAGATGCTTAGCATAACTAATGTTATAGTTCATTGATAGGTATTTGTAGAGGCTACAAAACAGTTAATTAAGTACCTGCGTCAGTTCTAACAGATCCTAAATCAAGGTCTAATAAATCCTCTAACAAATCCTATCAGCAGTACAGAAGATGTACTGCGCCGACCCCAAGTGATTGGGAAATGGGCAGGGAGAATAAGCAGAAGAAGTCAGTTCTAACAGGATGTCCTTGATTGTATTGAGGCTTTAAATTTACTTCACGCTTCTCACTCTTTCAAGGGTAGTACTTACTCCACACTCTACTTTCCGCCTTTTTTTCACTTAGTTTTTTCTTATCAATAACAAGAGCTTTAGCTCGTCAATAGGTACCAAATAAAAAACAACAAAATCGGTTGACAAATAGAGGAGGAAAAAGGTATTGATTGGAATTTTTCGCAATAATTTCCCAGTAGAGTAACTTGCTTAGCATATACTTGATAGGCAGTGTACTCTATTTTCCTATATACAAATTATTTTTATAGAAAAAAAAAATACAGAAAAAATTGTAGCTTTGTCTCTGCATAAAAGAAAGACAGACAAATTTTCTGTTACATCTTTCTCGTGTAGTAAACTTGTAACTAGTATAAGCAATTTATTAAAAGAAATGGAAAAAATATACCTGAAATATTTGTGTCAATCAATCAACTGTATTGTACAATTATGTAGGTAATTACAAAAATGTATCCGCTGGCCTTCTTGGAGTTTGTGAGTGGCAGTTATTGTTCGTTTGAAGGTGGTTTTCAGGAAGATGGAGCCGGACTTTCCTTGAGCTGTTACATTGATGTAAACGTTGTTTTTGATTCTTCATACTGTCATTTTTAACCTGGTAAAGGTATATAACATATGATTAGCACTTTTCTTACAGCGAAGGAAAACATCGTGAGGAAACCTGCATGTCTGAGAGAACCTAGTAAGTTTTCGAAAGACATGTGAAGTCCATTAACACGCACTTGATAAGCATGGTGGACTATGGCTCGATCCCCGTCGTATTGAAGGGAGACCCCGTGCCCAGTAGGGTGACTCTTAAATGGACTGAATATATACATACACATACATACATACATACATACAAAATATATAAACCATAATAGTAAAAATATAAAGAACAAACTATATAGTAAATACTTTTATTTTGTATGCTGTTTATATTTTAAGAACCATTCGAAATTATTTTATTAAAGCGTGCATTAACAAAGAGAATCTAGATGAAATTTGGTTCAATATAAATACTTGCAGCATAGTCAGACAGACCGCAAAGTGCTACGATTGTTCTGTATTTTACTTTATGGAAAACTGCCATTTAAACTAAATAAAAATCATTACTCTTCGCATTTTGTAGACTAGCGTTAACAAAAGAAAGTGCGTTATCTTTATAGTTGAAAAATTGCTCCTTAATGTAAATAAATTACATTATGTACATTTTATAAAAATAATATATATTGTTAAGTAATAATGATTTATATTTATAAAATAGTAACAGAGTCTAATCAGTACTTGAAATATGTTTAAAAAAAATACTACGTATTGCGTTCTATTAGTACTGGTATATTGATCCCAAGGGAGCAATTGTTGAAAGTTTTATCTGTTCACTTGTTCACGCAAAACGACTGAGCGAATTTTAATAATTTTTTTTAAATAGAATACTTTTTATCTCACAAAATGAAAAGGGTCCCCTTAAAAGGAAAAAAAGCTTTAAAATCGGAATGGTTTTTATCGGTACTGAGCTAAAAGTGAATTGTATATAAACAGTTTGTTATTATATATTTATATAATATATTAAATATGTTTTATGGTGTTATTTTTTTCGGAGAGAAAGACGTTAACAATTCGAAAATAATACTTTCTTAGATTGATTCGATAAACGTCGGGAACCAAAAATCCAAATAAATCCGCGAAAAAATCTGAAAGATAGTTTTATTTAAAATTCGAAAATTAAATCAATTTTAAAGATTTAGTACTAGAAATTCTGAACAAATTTTGAATTCAAAATATTACATGTCACACTAATTATGTAATCATTTTATACCGACTGAAATTTTTGACAATAATATTTTTTTCCTATTACATTGGAACTCTATGTATCTAATGTAGCGCCCAAATTCATGATTTTTTTTAAATCTTCATTGAAGATAGCGTTATACGTCAGTTTCAGTTATGTGAAAAAATCAGACTGATTTAAGTATAAAGTAATTTTGCACAGCATGTTAGTTACATATAGGATTTTATAGACTTTTTATTATAAAAAATATTAGAGTCGTATTTTTTACAAGTGATACAGACAGCATTATGGGACTAAGCGAGCTATCCTGTATCCATCGTCGGGATTATTGCTAATTAATTAATATTATTGGACATTAAACTAATAAATATCAAATTTATTCTAGGATACCTTAGACTGCAAGACATTTTAAGATATATTTCAAAATTCATTCATAATTCATATTTTCAAAATTCGCAGAAGAAATGCTCCGCCACCTCTTCTTCTACTATAACGCAATGACACGCAAATTCTTTCTTTATTTTAGCTTCAATTTTTATTATACTTGATTCTGATAAGTAATTACTGAGTTCTATTTTAATCAAGCCATGCTATGATAGGCTAAGCATAAAAAGAGTTGTTACTTATGACAAGTTATAACACTAAACTGAGTCAGTGTGAGTTTTAAACATGTTACAATATTACAAGCAGGCGTGTAGGAATGAAATACTAAATAATAGAAACTTTTGTTCTAGAATTCAAAGTATATAATTAAATTATAAAGCTTTGTAATATTTGGGTCTTTTAGAGCCTAATTTGGTTATAAGGACTGTCTATTGTCAAACCTGGCTCTACAATACTACCAAATTTTTGAAAGCATTGCCTCTTTGTACTTTGCAAATTGAAAATTAAAATATCACTCTCCTGATTACAGCTGTTATCATTCAGTGTTTTAAATTTCGATAGTATCTAACAAACTGCTTTATTTAGATAATATATATAGTTATATATAGTATATAGTTATGTGTTAAATTGTAAAATATACTAAGATAAAGTTAATATATTATGTATGTTATATATTAGATTATTTATGACTGATTTTTCTAAGGGCTCCAACCGAATGATAAGCGAGACGAAAGGTCGCTTATGTTCGTTTGGCGTCTCCAGGATGTAATCTATATACTTGGCAAAACTTTATTGAAATATGTTTAGCGGTTTAAACATGAAAAGGGAACACACTAACGGATAGAGTTACTTTCACATTTTCAGGTGTAAAATTACTATGGATAAGCTGGTTGTTATCACTTTTGGTTTCTGCCTGAAATGCTTTTGAGAATAATATTACTTAAATTATCTATACATATAATAAAATTGTAACTGATCGCTGTCTGTACATGGAAGATATTTGAGAAAAACTATAATTGGGGTTCTTTATTTACGCAATAGAACCCAAAACAATGATTTTTAAAATTTGTCTGTTTGTCAGTTTCAGTTTGTCTGCTTGTCTGTGCGTTTGTGCGCGCTAATCTCAGAAACGGCTTAATCAATTTAGATGCGGTTTTCACTCATATATTGTGGTAAGCCTCACTTAACATTTGGTATTTGTTTTATTTCAATCGGTTTATAAATAAAAAGTTATGTCAATTTAAAGAATCACCTAGGGACGAACCCGAGCGGAGCGAGGGTGAGCCGCAAGTCTTTCATATAATAGAATATCTTAATATCGCTTGGAATTTATTGTAAATGTGACTTGACTACATAAATAAGTATGGCTGAAAATAATAAAATACAAATAAGATGTTTACAGCTTTGGTTGGTAACGCGTAAGTGCATAATAAAGGCTGGATCAAAGACGTTACGTTTGCGATAATAATAGTGATGATAACATAATGAAAAAGAGTATGAATATAAAAGTAGGACTGTAAATATTCATTAAGGTTTGTAATTTGGATCTCATCCTGGCATTTTACCAAAGATTTTATGGTCGCTCGGGAAAAGTGTATTATGGGCGAAGCTAATTTTGAATAAGTAACGTATTTTTGGACCGTTAGAATGTCGTTATCTGTGTAAAATATTTTTCTTAGAGAATGACGGTAGAAATAATTGGAAAGGAAAAGATATTTGCAGTAAAATATCTCGGGTATAAAAAACTTAAGGAAGTAGAACTTTTAAAAAATACACATTTTCGCCCTCGTTTTGCTCAATTAGGTTTTTTTTAATAGACTCTACAGGAAATAACACCATGAGGCAAATGGAAATAATGCTAAGCTGGGATAAAGAATTCACTTTTCCGTACAAAATCACTTACGCATTTATATATAATATAATATTAATATTATGGATATTGGAAAATGTTCTTATTCAGAGGATTCGAATTTAATAAAAACTTCGTTAACTTATTAACTTACATTTTACCTAAGAAATTAACACTTGTATAAAAAACCCTTGTGTAATACCAATGAAAACCGATATCTATTATCGTTTAATTATTATTATACTTCATCCTGTATAGCAATGATACTTCATCCTGTATATTTACTGTAGGAAAAAATATATTATTCTCTTTATTAATTACATAACTTACCCTTATAGTGAGTTCGTGTCGAGTCCGTCTGTGGGATGATGTCAGTAGCTCGGTGTGAGCTCTCGATTCATTTACATTTGAATTGTCAGTCTTCATCCAACACCATAACCATTTATATGGAGGAATGTTCCTAGAAATGTTTCTAATTAATATGTTAACTTATTTTGTCTTTCCTGTTTTGTTGAAATAGTGAATAAATTGCTTATATTACAGTTACATGTATGTATATGTAGGATATTACATTATATGTACAAATAATATTTTGTAAATAACGTGTATATACAAAAATCTATTGCTGTTCGTTAGTCTCGCTAAAACTCAAAAACGGCTGAACCGATTTGAATAATTCTTTTTTTGTTTTGTTGGACGTATATCAGGAATAGTTTAAATATAATAAAAATATAGGAAAAGAACTGGTTATTTTGTATGGGAATCACTACTTCGGATTACTTTAAATAGTGGCGGATCTACCATCTATAACAATACGTCAAGATTAAGTTAGAAAAAAATAATATATATATATATATATATATATATTATATATAATAGTATATAGTTTATCTATTCTACACTAACCGTTGAAACGTTTGTATGAGGAATCAAGGTAGGGACGAACCCGAGGGAAGCGAGGGTGAGTCGCTGGTATACTATATATCTGTATTATATAATGGTGAGTTTGGGATATATAAGAGGCCAAGTTTTCCTTCCACCTTCACTTTTAACTACCTTTATTCTCGGCAGGAAAGATTATGATAGTGTTTTTTTTGTATAGAATTGAATTAAAAAACGAGGCCTAGTTTTTATTATACTTTCGTCTTAGGTTTACGCGAATATTTGACATTTTAAAAATAAAACTATCATTTCGGATTTTATCGCGAATTTATTTTGATTTTTGGTTGGTTCCCGATGTTTCGAATGCTTTACAGCAATCATGGTCACGGGAGAGACCACCACGGGGGATATTTTTATTTTTAAGAATCGTAGTTTAGCCAAGTAAATCAGAACATAAAGTTTCTATTCACCACAGAATCGCATCAAATCGCAGGCAGCAACTAGTGTAATTTGATTAAATAAGTCAATTATATCCATGTCTCCAAAATTATCATATTATTATTAATGCTTCGCATGTTTTTATATGAATTTTATCCTACATTCCGTATACTTTATGAGACAAAGAATATTTCATAAGCATGCTTAGTCGAAGAGGAAAAAAAATAAGTTTATTTTTCTATTAAAATAAAGTATATAATGTGAAAATTTCATGTAAGTGTATTTGTATATAAATACATATATTAAAGCCTTTGACCACGATCATTGCTATTTATTACAGTTTATTTATTTATTTATTTATTCTTTCATTTTAAACAGTACATGTATAACATAAATAACTTAACGATAATAACTACATTAGTATAAAACTGTGTCGCAATTATTAGCGTCCACCTCACAAGTGTCGTAAATGATAAAAACTTAATGCTACACATATTAAACAAAAGTAAGCACAGCAAAAAAATCAAATATCTAATTAAAAAAAACAAAAAAAACACAGTGACAAGAACAAAATAAAAAAAAAAAAGAAAAGGAGTTATGATGACATGATTTATGTTTGTATGTACGTATATGTTTGTGTAATTATATGTGTGTATGTGTGTAGATGAAGTCTCAAGTTATAGTTAGCATAAGGTCTACCGTTTGATCATAGTTTAATTTTAGTAGCCAACCAATTAATTTAGATTTTCATTTATGTGATTTAAGAGAATAGATATCTAGCTCTTAATTGACCTTATTGTACAGTATGGGAATAAAACAATAATTTAAGGGGATTATTACTTTGACGAAATATTTGAAAAGAGTTTAAAGTTATTTTTCTCTTTACTTTACAACTAGAAATGTTTGTATAATATTTTACAGGCATCTCTAGAGTGCCACAAATTCAGTTATAAATTTTTACAACTTTTAAGATCGTAAAGACTTAAAGCACCCTTCAATGAAGTCCTGTTAGAATAAAGTATTTTCAATGTATTTTGGAAGCTTATAATTTCTCGTAAATCATGTTCAGTATCAACAGTAGTGAAACTTTAGCATCTTAGACGGGGAAGAATTGTAATTAAGACAAGTCCAACAAGATATACAGCGATGCGGTCGGATAATTGATTTGTTTATTAAAGCTGAGCTAAACTACCGGTTGATGATTTATATTCGTATTTACAATACAAGTAAATGATATCAATTCTATACAGCACTGAAATTTTAGCTGAAAATTGTACATAAGTACTTTAAGTACTGAGTAACGATGTATTTAATTTTATTAGATATTAGGTAGTCAATTTTAGTTCAAATTGTTTTAAAAGTGCTATTGAGTATCCCTTTGTCTGTTTTAAGCAAACCTGCCTTTCGAACTAGTGTTAGCTTCCCGATAGACCAAAAACACAAACGATTTATTTAAAACACTTGTAATTGTACTAATCAAAATGTTGCTTGTAACATTGTTTTTTGTCTTTGAGACGTCTAAAACCTTAGTCTCTCCCGTGACCAGGATTGCTGTAAAGCACTGGAAACGTCGTGAACCAAAAATTAAAATAAATCTGCGAAAAAATCCGAAAAGATAGTTTTATTTAAAATGTCAAATATACGTGTAAATCTAAGAAAGTATTATAAAAACTAGGCTTGCTCTTCACGTAGAACTAAAGTGATTCTATTCACATTGGCTAATACTAGAATAATACGAAGATAATACGAGATAAAGAAGATTCGTATAATAAAAACCAGTCTAGGTTTCCTTGTCAAATATGATTCCGCTTAGTAAAAGTTATTCTTGAAGTCCCAGAGGTATAAAATTCGCATTGCAGCTATTTGTCATAGAAAACGTTTCGGCCATACGAATATCCTTTCGGTGAATATAAATTATTGGGTTGGGATGGCTTTTGATGTTGAGTTGTTGATTTTGTAATACTGTATATTGATTCACATTCTCGTTTCTACCTACTGTATTTAAATATATACATCAAAGTTGATTAAATTATGCTAATCATACCTAAATTATTTTGTACTAGCTTTACAAAAACAAATCTATCCCACGTTATGAATATAAACACCCATGACTGGAGTACAAACATTCATGCTCATCACACAAATGAACGCCCCCAACAGGACTCGAACCCGCGACCGCTGGCACAGCAAGTAGTAGTACAAGGTCACTACAAACTGAGCCAAACGTGTCATCGATAGATAATTCATGATAGATATTCCTATAACTTAATATTTGTCATACTATGCACAAAATCTGCTAATAAACTAAATAAAATGTAATTTACCTAAGAGTGATAAATATCCTGCTAGAAAATATAAAGTATATAACAGGGTTTGCTGCAGAGTTTAAGGGCGCAAGGCTTTGTATGAGTGAAGCTATGGCAATATTTCCTTGAGTATCTGGAACGTAGCCATATACTTGTAGCAGATCGAAGATCATGTACGGCGACCAGCAGAGGACAAATACTGAAATGAAAAGCACTATTAGTATTGTTATACCCTATGTAGTATGTACATATTATATTTTATATTTATAATTTTGTATGTTTGTTTACACATAAATTCCTTAATTTTTTAGTTGTCCCTGTTATCACTTAATTGTACAATACATTTAATAATTAGTTCTAAAAAGACACAAATTTGCGCCTGAAATACGCCTTTTTAATTTTTAACTATTTTTATATAGTACATTTTATAAAGACGTATGAATCATCAAAATCAGCCTACGCGTTTGGTCTCTAGAACGCTATATAGAAATAAACATACATACATGCATACATAGACTAATAAACACATCACCTCCTGTGCGTCGCGCAGTCGGGTAAAAAGGAAATGTATACACGAAACTGGGTCATAAAAATATTATAAAAATAAATATAATAGAAAACAGCAAACTAAATGTACAAGAAAGCTTTTATAGGATCACTCGTGTGTCTATACTTAAATCGACTGTTACATCTTATTTTTGACAGTTGACTCATTAAGTTAATTTAACATTGAGTATATTATAGAGTAAGGTGAAACAGTGACGGAAGTTTAGACTTATAAATGAAAATTTTATGAAGTGACACTATGTAGTAAATATTTAATTACACTTTATTTTTATTTTTATCAAATTGCACTGTTTAAAAGATAAAAAGTAAATTCATATAAATTATTCCTAAAAAGCTATACTATCCTGTATCAAAAGTCAGTTTTTCGAGAAGAATTATGTTCAACACCATCACACATCAAAGATAGTAATAAAAAAAAAACGAAAAGTGAAAACTTTCTTGCAAATTTTGTACGAAATATATTTCAATTACACGTAGAGCTCACAGGTTCTAATTTAGTTGGCAGTTTTTGAACGAACTTAAAATCGTCAGGCGAATATTAAAGTCCACGGAAAAGGTACGGCAACAATGATTAACTATTATTGGTATTTGACAATATTGTGTAAAAAAACGACTTCAAACAAAAGCACTAAAAAGTAAAAAATAACTGATTGGTAGCTTTCATTTACTATACATACCTAATCAAATATTTTCGAAGTCGGTGTGCTTTGCTTTTTATGGGCTGGCACCGATTTCGAAAATATTTGATTATTTTTTACTTTTTAGTGCTTTTGTGTGCAGTCGGTTTTTATTTTTTTGTTAAAAAGTTTTTATTTTTTCCTTTTTAGTGTAGACAGTAGTAGCAAAGTAAGAATTCTAACGTGTTAGGCTTGTCAGATCAAACAAAATAAGCCCAAACTCAAAGTATCTACTATTAGCCGTTGAAGAGTTCCACCTATCCACCTTCTGGCCTTACCATCAGATCAGGTCAACAATACCGAACCACTGTACTATCAACGGAAATGGAAACACTTGCAAAGTTTCAAGTCAATATGACAATTAGAAGTAGGTTAAATTCATCATTAGCTATTTTTCCACCCTTAGGAGTGGTATTTTTTATTGAAATTTAAATGGGACCAATCTGGAAGTATAAACTTTCAAACAAAACAAAAATTGTCAAAATCGCTTAATAAATGACGAAGTTCTGAGGTAACAAACATAAAAAAAAAAAAACAAAAAAAAAATACAGGTGAATTGAGAACCTCCTCCTTTTTGAAGTCGGTTGAAAATGATATAAGTGTAATGGATGAATCAGACAGCGTGTTAGTATTTTGGGATCTTGTATAATAAATGCAAATATTTGTGAAAAAGTAGGTACATATTCTTTCAAAAAATATATAATCATTTACTTATGTGATTGATATAATTTGGTCTTTACGCTGTAACGGCTAAACGGGTTTTAGCGAAGAGTTTATTAGAAACAGTTTTTTAAGCTAGTAGGCAAGTGTTACACATACAAAATATTTATTAATTATGTAACTTTTATTCTAAATAAACAAATTTTAACTTATAATTTTCAGTTCAGTAGGTAGATGCGCTAGAAGGCCTTAAGTGGTTTTCTAATGTAAATACTCAAAATTTTCCATGAGTTCATCAAAGATTATTAAATCGAAAGACCCTCGTTAAGCAACTGGTATAAAATATGGTAATTATAAAACGGAGAATACGTTTTAGCGTCGTCGTAAAAGTAATAATGTCGCGGTTAAAAGTTTAAATATTTCTTCTATTGCGGCCCTGGAGTCGAGTCACGATTCAAATTGTAAATTTATAAGATTCCAGACTCACCTATGGGTATGAGACGTGACGATTGGTGGTCTATTACTCGTACAAAGCGCACGTATTCGCAAAATGTACGAAAAAACCGTAAAATTGAATTATTAGTTATGCACCCTCACTTTCGGTGTGTAATTTTTGCAACATAAAAATTCGCATTAAGTACCTCTTATAATTTATAATTCAATCACGTTAACACGAATTTGTATGGAATGAAATCCACGCCATCTAGTGCCAAACGGGACATCACTTACTTACTTGACGTTAATGGTCAATGTCACCAAATTCCATTAAATAATTTAATTCTAGGTGTAGATAATTAATGCTTGTTATATTACTTGAAAATTATATCTAACATTTATCATTGTTGCTTGTTTGCTTCGAAAACCAAGTAAAGCGGGTTCAAATCCCGGGTTTCGCACGTTTTGTATATTTATGTGCGAATCATTTTCTCATTTTCAGAATGATTACCACTTGTCTTAAGGCGATGGAAAATATCATAACGAAACCTGCAAGTCTGAGAGAACTTGGCACAGGGTTTTTGTGATCCCCCCTGCAATGTGAATGTGTAGGTGTGTGTGATGTGAATATGCATTCACCTTGTCGTGGTGGAAGGGGGAGGGTCATTGGGGGTCCTGCTACTAGGCTAGCTGGACGCGTAGCCAATAAACGTACTGGGAGGTGGCCCACCTTGGTGGGCGGTGTGCCTTGCGGGTTGCTCCTGGTACTTCTCTGATAGCAAAGTGGACCGTTGGAGCAACTCCATGGCTGTTGTGATCTACTTTGGCAGACCTGCCGTCGGGGCGCCATGGTTGAGTGCGTCAGTGATCCGGCGACACCACGAACAAGGGAGTTTTGAAAGACGGGGGGGAATGTTTGGTTGGGTTTTAGTGAATAGGACTTGCTTGCCGGTGAGTCCCATATAACCACCACAAGTATACAGGTGGTATGCGTAAATCTATTTCCCAACATTAAAAAAAAGTATTGTTTGTGACAGTCCGTTAAAAGGATTTCATAATCTCGTTAGATTGTTACTTAAACACTTACGTTACGTTACTTTAACTTGTTAGATTTTACTAAATATCGTTATATTTAGTAAAATCTAACAAGTACGGTGAAATTGGTCGTTACTACACTAACAACACTGTGTTGTTCCATATCATAGTCCATCTTTTTACTTTTTCATCTCGATACTTCAGCGTGAAGAGTAACTAACATACATACACCCATTCACATAGAAACTCTTCCGTAGTATTAGAATTTAATTACGATAATAACTAAGTTAATTTAATGTTGTAAAAACTGAATAATTTATTTTACAGTTCAATGACATGTGCCATCTTAACATCTTGTATCAAATTAATATGTTAAAAATTTTCATGCATGAAGCTTGAAGAATGGCAATTTTGTCCACTTAACAGTAATGGACGGGCTATAAAAGGTTTTTATCGTCGTTTTACGCTCTTCATGTAGCATGTTTTTAAACTAACTTTAAGAGCTTTGGTTTAGACATAAAAATCGTGTTACTATGCATTTTTGTATGTAAATGTATTAAACAAAGTGGATTTTTTTTAATTTATGGTTTTCATATATTAGATGTGCTGTTTTATAACATAATTATAATATTTAAATACCTAAAGGGTATCCGTTTGTGTCTGTACGTGCCTCTAAAGTCTTTAGTATATTGTGGAAAAATTTCGTGTAGCAAATTCAATCCCGTAGCAAGTGAATGATGATCTTAATAGCCCCACAAGTAATCGATACTTGAAAGTCGATTGATTTTACTATTGATTGTATTGTAAATATTGATAAATTAGAATACAGCAGTGGCGAAGAGTCCATATAAGACGTCTTACCTTAACCGTTTCCCTGTCCTATGAGTCATATTTGAACATTTCGATTGTTTAACTATTGTGTCTATTTTGCGTACAGTTAATCTGTTAAAAATTTTTTGGTATATATATATATATATATATATATATATATATATATATATATATATATATATATATTTATATATATATACTAAAATTTCTGGAATACAGTAATTTGATATTTATGGAGACTGGATCTAAGTAGTGATACTCAGCCTTTTTAACGTCCCACTGTTGGACCCTGGTTTCCCCTCAATGAGATGGGGACCAAGCCATAGTCCAACACGCTGGCCAAGTGCGGGTTGGCGGACACACTGGCTTCTTTAAAAGCTACTAGTAAATTCTTAGGGTTCGGACTCACTTCATTCGTTTTGGAACATACCATACAGTAGTATGTTAGTACAGTAGCGTATAGTAATAGTATAATTACAGGCAGCCAGAAGTACGTGTTGAGTTTTTTTAATTGTCTACCGACTTTCTCAAAAAAAAGGAGGTTCTCAATTCGGCTGTATTTTTTTTGAGTATGGTTTTTAACGAACAAGGGGTTTCATATTGTACATTAATCTGTTATTGATTTTATAATTTACAAGCTGGCTGGCTTAGATTTCTTATAGAAAAAGACACTTTCAGTTTTTCCACGAATTTCTCAATTTATCGGCTACATTTCCATATAGTTTTTCCTAAAATTCTTATTCTTAAAAATACGAACAGCGCGGCGTTTATTTTTTTTATAGAAGATATAAATTACTGGAAACCATTTTAATTATTTATTACTTATAGGTTTTTAATCTTTATTTTATTTTTTTATTTATGATATCAGAAATTTTAGAAAAATAATTAAATTAAATATATACCTACATAATATATTATATTATTCTCTTTATGTAATAGATCACAAAAATAAAACCAATTTACGAAATACGCTGAGATTTCTAGACATTTGGTTTTTTCAATAGATTTGGCGTTCGATAATTCAATAATTCAGAATGTCGGCGTCAACTTTTTCACAGTGAAGAAAGTGTCATTGTACCTATTTTATGTATCCATCGCGATATAAATCGTGGCGGGTACGATGTTTTGTAAGCCGTAGTTGACATATACGATGTATTGACCCAAATATACCGAAACAAATACTTTAATGTGTAAATATAAACGGTTTGGTTCTTTAATGACGTACTTACGAAAGAGGGGCTATTGGTAATAAAATAATAATTATATTATGTTATGGCCTAGTGGTCGTTGACTCGCTTGGGAAGCTGTGTGAAGGGGGTTTATACCCTGGGTCTTGCAACTTTGAGATTTTTATGTACAAATAATTTTCATCAAGACTACTCGCATTTGTGAAAGGAAAGCATCGTGATGAAATACGAGTATGTTCGCTTCTTGCACAACCTAATCTCCTCTCGTATAAAGGCGAGCAACGAAACTCCTATTGAGACGTTAAATTATGATTATAATGATGTTAAAATTTAATTAATTATATTAAACTGTATGACAATATTAAATGTATTATATTAAACTAGCGACCTGCCCGGCTTTGTCCATGGGTTAAGTACACTGAGTATATATAATATTTATTCATACCTATAAACATAGTACATCTCGGACTAAAGGATTAATTTTTGGCTTCGTCATTTATTTTAGCGGACTCCGTCTATAAGCTCTTATGTCCGAGACATTGTACATAACACAGTGTACGTACATACATACATTCATATACAAGCATAATATTATACTATCACAAAAAATAATTTTGGTTCTAATTTAACCTGTTGTATACAAACTCATAAAATTACTTGACTTATATCGGAATTTTTGCACGCTATCATCACCATAAGAGAACAAAAGTAGCGAAGCTAAAAGTCAATTGTTAAATTTTCACTAAATATTTGCATGGCTCCATTGCGTAAATGCAAATATGAAATGAGTCGATTGAAGCATAAAAATATGTCGTTATGAACGATTTGATGTTTGATCGATTATGATTTGTTGAAATGTACAAGCATTTTGTTAAAACATCATAAATTACGTAAAGAAATTATGTATTTTGTAAATATATGGACTTTTTGCTTTCATCGCTTATGGTTTTTAGTTTGAAAAATTAATTGTTATATTCAATTGAAAATATGAATATATGGACACATATGTATTGACTACTTGCTGCGCCAGCGGTCGCGGGTTCGAGTCTCGCTGGGGACATTCATTTGTGTGCTGAGCACGAATGTTTGTACTCCAGTCATGGGTGTTTATATTTATAATATGTATGTATTTAAAAGTTATGTATGTATAATGTATCAACTATCTGGTATCCATAACACAAGCCTAGCTTACCATGGAACTAGATGGTGTTGAGTATTAATGTCCTGACATATGTATTCCAAATTTTGTGTAATATTATTCAAATGTAATATAATTATGTGATGTGTACTCAGCCTTTTTTTAACGTCCCACTGCTGGGCATGGGCCTCTTTACAATGCGAGGGGGATTAGACTATAGTCCACCACGCTGGTCAAGTGCAAGTTGGTGGATTTCACATGTCTTTCGATAACTTGCTAGGTTCTCTTAGACATGCAGGTTTCCTCACGATGTTTTCTTTTATCGTAAGTGCTAATCATGTTGGAAAATGATTCACACTTGATAATATTAATATGAGAGGTGCGAAACCCGGAATTTGAACCCGCTCCACTGGGTTTACCAAGCTAGCGCGGTACCACTGGGCTACCACTGTCTAATTATGTGGACTATTAGAATATTTTATATGACTTTTTAAAAAATTTAAAAACTGAGCAAAGAAAAAATCTACTTAATCATTGCAGAAAAAAAAATCTGCGAATACCTAAAAAGTATACAATAACGTAGAAAATGGATAGAAATATAATTCGATTATTTACTCACCAAACACAATTACAAATGTCATCTTGACAGTTTTAATTTTCGCTTTCGGTATAATTCCGCGGCTGCTCGCGCGGCGGCTATCCAAATCGTCACTATCTGTAAAGAAAAACAATGTCAGTTCCAATTTACCTTTTTTAAATAATGGAAATATTAAATTTTACGGAAACAAAATATTTATAGGTCCTACTACAAACTTACGCGCTTTACTCGGGTGGATTATAGGAGAATGTAACACTAGGTCATACATAGTCTACCTATGTACAGCTGAAGAAGCAACAAACATATAAACAGACATACAGACTTTCGCATTTATAATATTTATATAATATCTATTTAGATAATAAACCAACGATATAATGACAAGTATAAACAAGTGTATTTTGTGTAGTGTAACGAGCCAATTTGAACCCATAAACTAATATCATTGTATAGGTAGTTTATGTACTCGTATCAGTTTTTGAACATAATTTTATCAAATATTAAGTCAACATTTGATTCTCTCACCTCATTTTTGACGTACAATTTTGATTTCGTAATTGGTTATGTTTTTCAAAGAAACCTAACAATTATTTAAGTAATCTGATATTATTAATAAAATTTGCTTCATTCTTTTGAAGAAAATAGATGTATGATTATAATTTAGATATCAATTTTCTTGGTAGCTCGTAGCAAATATTTCCTAAGATGTTATACTTAAAATTGAAACATTTTATTTAATACCGTAAGTACACATATCAACAGCGATTCGGAGTGTGTTGAATAACGAAATAACGAGGGTCTGAACTTCATTCTAATTCTTGTTTGTATATTTTAAATTGGTTCCATGCAAATATTTTGAGGATTGAGTGACTATATCCATAGGAATTTTCCTATTTTTACTAGAATGGAGCTCGCAAATATTATAAATAAATGGGTTCGTAAATTTCATAAGATACTTCCATATTAACATTTTTCCTTTCTTTTCTCAACATTTTCCTTTAGCTCGGGCCTTTTTGCAATATACTTATATTCCACGAGAGTTACTTATGGCCTATTAACTATTTCTATGCAAAAAAACTTTGATATTTTGTTCTAGTTCTTCCTAAAATAAATATGTTGGGACATTAACACACAGCACCATCTAATTCCATGGTAAGCTACGATGCTTGTGTTATGGATACTTATTTCTTCGTTGGCATAACAACTAGCATGTACTGCTGTAGACTATAAGGTTCTGGGTTCGAGTCCTGGCCTTGGTTACACTCTCGTCCCATTACTCTCGTCTGTCATAATATCTACAGCGTCGTTGGTTAGTTTGAGTGAGGTCGGCCGTGGTAAAGTTCGATCAGGATTCAGAAGGCCATTTTTTCATAGTAAAGATTAATTTCGTGTTTATCTATTTGTGTAATTCGTAGTAGTTTATTTTTTCTACAAAAATGACAAACGTATTGTAATGGTTCTCCTTTCTTATTATTATTCCTATTAGTGTGTTAAGTAAAATCATATTATGCCAATAGACCTTTCAAGTGGTCTTTTGATAAATAAGTGGCTATAAAGATGAGATGTGTAAGATACCCTAAGAATATCCTCACAAGCCATAAAAGATTTTCACGATTTATTTAGTGACTTCTAATTTGTTTTCCTCGATTCGGAGGCTTGTAGCGTTATAATTTATACATACTTGTATGATAACTATTATGATGATACTTATCTATACATATAATAAAATTCTAACTAAGCCAAATCTGTACATTAAATAATTTTTGGAAAATCTTATTGCAATAAACATTATTATCGATACAGAAACCGAATCTATAGTTTTTAGAATTTTTGTCTGTCGGTCTGTCTGTCTGTCTGTTACCGCATCACAGAAAAACCTCTGGAAGGATTTTGATGTTTGGTATGGTGATAGCTGGCTATCCGCGTCAACATATATAATACTTTTTACCGCGGGAAAATATCTCATTTCTGAGAAAAAATACAAAAACTGCAATGTAAGAGTATACTAATATGTACAGCCTAAGAATTTGGTTTTTAAAAATGCGAAAATTTGGATATGCGTACGCGCGCGCGTATGTGTGCGTGTGTATACGTATGTCTGTTACATATTCATGCTTGCTAACAAGAACTATATAAGAGAAGTATAACATTTTTTTTTATTGTGTTCCTGTTTTTTTATTTTCATGTTTAATCACTTATTAAGATGGAACCAATGTGCTATATACAAACACAAAATTTAAAAAAAAACATCCTATATATTATTTTAACCTACATTTGGTTGTAAAGCTAAACTGTGATCTAAGTGTTTGAAACAATTTAAAAGTTTCAAGTATTACATCAAATTTAATAAAGAAAGGTCTAGTGATTTTAAAACCTATAAGGTTAGTATAAGTTGAAAATATAACGTTAAAAAAGAAAATTTTGGTACTTTAATCTCGTATATGCTTAAATTCAAAAGATCTTTTTAGAATTTATTCAACCTTTTTATGTAAATACTTATTAACATATATTTAAAAAAAATTTCTCTTGTTTCAAAATTTTTAAATAATTATTTGAGAAATAAACGTTTATTTTAATTTCTGGCTACATATGATAGACTAAACGATATTCATATTTTAAAATAGCTTCAAGTCTAAAACATCAATTTTCTAGTCTTAAATGATTTCCTATTAGTTTTGAAATATTATTTCATACAAAATTTTGAAATAAACTTCTCTAGTGCCTTTTGTGTAACTTTACGTATTGTATGTATTTAATAATTTATTTTTTTATGCCTTCGCCTTTAGTCTTTTGCAAAAATTCGATTTCTAAACGTATTTACTAGACTAAACACATAAATGCTCAGATTTCTTTCACATTTTTTTTAAATACTTACATTGTCGAGTAGCTGCCGCCCTTTTCCCCAATACTCTACGGCTTTTTTGCCGTATCGTTACAACTATAACGCCGTAACAAGCTGATATCGTGAGAGCTGGTGCTACAAAAAGTGACAGAAAGACACTTGTCATCCATATCCTCCACTGTGTTTCATTGATACTTGACCAGCATTGTAGAGTACCTTGGATATGAATTTATCAATTGATTAATTAATATACATATTAGAAAAAACATAATTTAACAATATATTATAAGCTATGGTGTTGGGTATTTGTATAACAAAGATTTTTTGCAACTCTAAATAGACACTAAGATTTCTCTTAGGTCTCGTTTCTCATAGGTTGAATTCCATTGTAAAATAAAGTTCGTTTTACAAGTACGTTTTAATTTAAATTAAATTTTAAGATGGTCAATGGAGTCAGTTCTTGAAGATGACACTACTTGCACGAAATGTATATTTTCATGAGAAGAGTCAAAGAGAAACCATATTTTAATAATATTTTATATTTATTTTCCACAGATATTTCCTACGAACTCATTTATTTTAATAACACAGATTCTTACATTTCAGATAGTTTTATAGAAAATACTATACCTAATAAATAAAAAAATATAGAAAAAAATAATTAAATAATCACTAATAACTCAATTTTAACTTAATATTTTAATGAAAATAAAATGAAATTATGATCTTCAGTATGTAATTGCAAAGTGTTAAATCAGAGAATAATATTTAAATGGCATGCATTATAATTTTAAAACAACATAATTCATAACATATTATTTAAATGAACAAACAGACCTTCTATATCCGCTTCGTCAAATAAAAATAACATCGGTACACAGAAGAGAAAACTTAGAAACCACGCGCCAATAATAAGAGCACGTGCCCTGCGCCCTGGAAACAGTATAAAACTTTAATTGACACGTAACGTAATTATAAATCTAATACATATTTTCTATCAGTTTAAGCTATTAGATTTCACAAATATTTAAGTATTGAAATTAATTGAAATTTTAATTTATGAACGGCCATACTATATATTAAGATAAGAAATTTTAATTTACTATGTCCTTGTGGTTGAAACTCAACCATAATAATTTTTTATCGTTTACACTAAAGCTCGTTAATAGCTACTAAGAACAACAGAATCTGTTGACAAATCTGAGAAAAAAGTTGGCCATCACAAGACGCCCGGCAGATGTGAAACATCTACAATAATGTTAGACTATAATTTATTGAGTATAATAAAGAAAAATAGTTTTTTTTTATAAAATCAATATAGAAATAGTTGAGCGTCATGCCGTTTGCCGTGACGGCATACGAGTCGGTTTTACTACCAAGGCAAGCCAATAGATGTTTCACATCAAATACGCCCTGTATTATTTTCTTGTCTTTACCTATTTATATTGAAATATACCAATACGTATCTTTTTATAATTATTAAAAAAAGCTTTATATAACTTTAAATTAAATATTTTCGTCTACTTACAGCTTCCAGTGAAGTTCATGGGATGCGTGATTGCATCGCAGCGGTCCACACTTAGTGCGACTAAAACGTAAGTGGAGGAATATGTAACTACACCCTGTAAAAATACTTAAAGTTATTAAAATAATAATGAGTTTAAGGAAATTATTAAAAGAATATTGAAATATTTTTTTTAAATAGTAACAAATTTATTTACAATAAAGAAAATTACAAATATACTTAATTATGAAATAAATAAGCAGCAACTATAAAGTTTGGGTCTTTTTTGAAGAAATAAGTTGTGTAACAGTCATGCAGCATGTGACGAGTATTACATACTAAATAAGTTTTTTTATGAAATTTGCCAACATTTTCATTTTTAATTGTTAAAAATATAAATACTAAAATAAATGTTCTACATTTCTTAGTTCTTCAAAGTAAATGTTTCCTTATAGTTTTTGACCGAATTTGAAATGTAGGAGGCACTCAATTCGATTATAATAACGTTTTTTTTTATTGTGTGTATATTACGTGCCATCTTTGCTTTGCCAATTTTTATTCGATATTGATATTTTGGCTTGATAGACTATCTCAAAAAAGAAAAACCACTAAAAGCTAATTTTCCAGGCTAATTACTGATGGTTTTAAATAGTTATAACTTCAAACGTAATTATTTTAAAAAAATATTTCATGTTAATCTCGATACTTCTTCACTGCGCTTTAAAGTACCCGTAAATAGTATATACTACTGTCAGGCGACCTCTTTTTATCTTTACCAGTGTTCGCCTAGTGGTCGAAATTCGACAACTATAGAAAATTTGAAGAAAACATATATGAATAGAATTTACCTATCCATATAAAACAACTATTTTCAAAATATTCTTATTCATAGCACTAAAGTTCTTCAATAGCTACTAAACAAAAAATAAAGAAAATCGGGCGACAAACAGGAAAAAAAGGCATTAGACTGTTTTGTCTTTGACTATTTATATATAGATAATCAAATTTTGCACCTGGGATAAAGTGGCCAATAAAACATTGCTCTTCAATAATCAGGCTGATATGAATATTTTATTTTGTTGCTAAATGAATAATGGACATGCCAACGTACAAAATTTCACCTTTATAAAATTAGTAGTATATAATAGTAGATCTGTAATCTGTTGTATAATCTTGTTTTAATATCATTTCTATCAACATTTAGTAATAAAGCACTTGCCTTGCTCTCAGTTTGTTTTCTCTAACCGTTACTATATCTAAAGTGTTTGCTTCCAAATAACTCTAGTGTTCTTTATTTGATATCTTCATCTATTCAATTTAGTGGAAAATATTCTTGAAATTTTCATATCAAATAATCAAAATAGATAATACTTTTGAAAATCTTTATCAAATGAAAGCTAGAGTATACGAATTTAAATTAAATTAAATTTGCTATACCCAAGATTTTAAGATATTAAAATTATTATTACCTGTAAATATTTCATTAATTTACACGCTATAGAGCCAGCGAGCCACGAAATCGTTATACGCTGTATTAGATCTGGTAGAACACTTATTAGGCCCACCCACAAATCTGTAACAAATAAGGCAAGTAAATTCATTTTGAAATCTAATTGAATATAAAGCAAGCTTGTAAAACGAAATAAATTACAATTATAAATGGAGCTTTTACTACTGCGAGAATATTGGAGTCTAATAAATTTTAAATAATTTTTAAGCTCATATTGTACAAAAATCATTTACACATCCATTGTGCTTCAGAAAACATGCTTAATGGTTTCATGAAAACCAAATAAACTTTAATGCTTATTTAGTATTGCTGTAAGAAAACTGCGACTGTTCGTGTTTTGCTTGACTGAAAATGTGAAATATTGAATAAATGAGCAGTGTAACACCTGAAAACCGAGATGAAGGGTTCTTTTACTAAACTTATTAAGAAATAAAAATTTAGAAGGTACTAAATTAAACTGGCAGACCTACAGACAGTTTTACCAGAATAGTATATAAGGTAAGGTTTTGTAATTGTGTACATTTTGAAGTGTTCTTATAAACAAATTATGTAATTAATATTAAATACCTGCGATCGCAAGTTGCATTATAAAGAAGCTCATCCGACTTTTTCGTGATTTGGTGAGAAATAGTGCCAACACCACCGTCGCGTTGCCCGCCACGATCGCCACCAACAATATCCATAGCACAGCGAGCTGCGCGCTCTAAATAAAAAAAAATCAGTATGAAATTAGAACCAAATAAGAAAACATCTATATCAGAATTCCACTAGTATTATAATTGCAAAGTCAACTTTTTATTATTTGTTGATTTTAAAATTTAAACGTTAAAAAACTTTTGTGTACTGCAACCCCCCTTAACTTTTATTTTTTCAACTTCTGTCCCAAAATCTAGCGTTTATAGTAGATATTCACTTACACAGCAGCCTATCACACACTTATATGATTTTTTTTACGTAAGTACATTATCTGGATACTTAATCAAAACATTGCTAAACATTTGATTAGAATACTGAATCTGGCCTTAGAATTTTAGTTAGTAATAAGTTAAAAGTAAAATCACCAAAACTCACTACGCTATGGGAAGGAAGACAAGTCGCTAGCTAATTTATCTCATGTAACAATAAGGATACCCATTAAAAACGTTTGACTCCACACTCTGACGTACGTGTGTAACGGACTACAAACTTCCTTCTCAGTTTGATTAGTTTCAAGTATCGTTTCTTAAGCTTTATTTAGACCTATAAAATTTAATAGAGATTTAAGAATAATATAGAATAATAATTTATAGAAGAATAAAAGAAGAATAAGATAGAATAAAGATATAAAAGAAATATATAAATAAAAAGAAACATTATTTTCTTTTATTTCAAACATGCAATATAACATCACGATCCCTCTAAATGAGGGTGATGCTGTTTTCTCAGCGGTTAACAAAGAATTTTAATAACCTAGACCGTTAATGGGTTTCCGTTGTAAATTTAAAGCGCGACGCGTTTCGCATAATAAGAATCAACGGTTGTTACACGAGATGTGTAGCAGCTTGTAGGACCTTTTATAGTATAACGTATAATATATGTAATTAAATGATTTAATGTTTTTAGAAGTAAATTACCTATACATTTTTAACATACTTCATATGATAATTTATTTCAAAAAAATTGATAATGTGTGTCATAATATAAAAGTAGGTATATGTAAGATCACAATCTAGCCTTCGCTCTACACCTCACTAAATCCTGTGCCTAAAGAATTCTTTTATCTATGCCGTGAGAACGTCATTTTCTTTTATTTTAGCTGACCTTCGTTTTCGGTTTCGGTTCGTCCCTACCTTGCTACCCAATACAGACTTTCATACCCATTTTCAGCCCTTTAAGGAGTGATTTCCGGGATAAAAATTATCCTATGTCCTTTCCAGGGTCTTAAACTATCTTCTTACCAAATGTCATCTAAATCGGTTCAGTAGATCCAGAGAACCCCCTACAATGTCACAAACTCACAATCTCACGAACTCTCAAACTTTACCTCTTTATAATATTAGTATAGATAGTCATACAAAAATTGTATAGAAAAAAAGTAACTTGCTCTTGGATTTCCCAACTTCCAAGGTGACTTACTTACTACTTAACTGGACTATTACGAACATTTCAAAACATCAAGAATTAAAAAAAAGCTAAATCGTTCATATCGTAATTAAATTATGCACTTACCAAAGGACAGTAGTTCATTTTTATACGAGTACTAGCGAAACACTCCTTCGCTCGGGTTCGTCCCTACTTACGTTTAAACATTTAGTATAGATTTTTCAGAGATGAGATATTTTCCCGCAGTTCCTATACGTTGACTCGGATAACCAGTTGTCGTCATACTAAATTTCATCAAAATCCCTTCAGTGGTTTTTCCGTGATGCCGTCACAGATAGACAGACAAACTATAGATTCGTCCTCCATATCGATAATAATGTCTACTTCAATAAGATTTTCCAAAAATTGTTTAATGTACAGATTCGACTTGGTTACAATTTTATTATATGTATAGACTAGCATTGCCCGCGGCTCCGCCCGCGTTCAGGTGACCTAAGACCAAATTCTTAGGTTTTACATATTAGTATACACTTACAATTCAGTTTTTGTATTTTTTCTCAGAAATGAGATATTTTCCAGCGGTAAAAAGTATTCTATATGTTGACCCGGATAACCAGCTACCATCATACCAAATTTCATCAAAATTTGTCCAGTGGTTTTTTCATGATGCGGTTACAAACAGACAGACAGACAAAAATTCTAAAAACTATAGATTCGGACTTTATTTCAATAAGATTTTCCAAAAACTATTTAATGTATTCGACTTGGTTACAACTTTATTATATGTATAGATATAGTTTAAGCGGGCACTCGATTTCTTGTAGGATTAAAAAGACTGTTCTTTTACTTTGTGTTAATATGGTATACTGTCCAGTGCATGAATGAAACTCACGATCGATTCTCTTATAATATTCACCCTCAAAATTAAATCTTTTTCCACGAAAAATCTGTTATATAAGACACAAGAATAGATAAGTAAACCTAAGTACAAAATTAATACAGGTGTATATAATTTTGTACTTCATAAAGCACTTAATAAAGCTATATAATAAGGCCCTGAAAGGTTAATAAGTAACTTCTTAATGAATATCACGTCGTTTATATGTAACAATTACTGTAAGATTAGAATACAGAAAGTCTAGACTCATAGTTTAGTCTCTCTACGGGTCGGCAGTAAGCTAATATGTTTAAGAATCTCCAAGACTACTATAATATTTTGTATTGAAATTAAAATGCATGAAAGTGAATAGTAATTTTGTTTCTTATTTATATAATTTTTAAATTTCTTTAATTTACACATATAGTAGATTTTTTTTGCACAATTTGCTTATCTTGAGCTCGTTACGACAAAATATCTTTAAAACTACGCAACGGATTTTGATGCGGTTTTTTTAATAGATAGAGTGAAGAATATAACGATATTTCTTGGAGGTGTCGGAAAAAAATAAGCCGCCTGGGAACTTTCAACGAAAACGCTGCCTTAAACCCTTTGAGATATAACAAAATAATGTATGGTGGAATTTTGTATCTTATATAGGTCTACAGAAAAGTCCGGGTTGGCATATGTCTATTACCCCCCCAACGTGCGTTCACCTTGTCGTGGTGGGGGGGGCTCAGTAGTGCCCGGCTATCCAACCGGGCGCGAAGCCAAGAAACGCACAGGAAGGTGGCCCACTTCGGTGGGTGGTGGGAGGTGGCCCTGTTTGGTGGGCGGTGTACCATGCGGTTGCTCCTGGTACTTCTCTGATAGCAGAGTGGACCTTGGAGCAACCCCGTGGTTGTTGTGGTCTGCTTTGGCAGACCTGCCGTCGGGGCGTCGTAGTTGAATGCGTAAGCGATCCTGCGACGCCCCATTAAGACGGGGGAAGGTTTTGTTGGGTTTTAGTGGGTAGTACTGGCTTTATTACGACGGTGAGTCCCACACCTCGTGCGTAAATGCATTTCCCAATGTTAAAAAAAAAATGTCTATCACTCAAGGACACATACTATATCCATTTTAATTTAAAACGTACCTTGGCACGAACCCGAGCAAAGCGAGGGTGAGTCGCTACTATATTAATAAATTATATTAAAATGTCTTACAGGTGTTTAAAAAACAGCCGCTCATAAAATTATAACTTTTTGCATATTAAATGTATATACATATTTTTCTTATAACATGTATTGGCATGTATTGAGCACATTGTAACGTAAGATTTTTTTAGAGAATCAAAAGCGGCAAGTCTATCTGTCTTGATGGACTTATTGGGAAATAATAATTATATTCTACAATTTTAAAAAGTTTCATGATTATATTGTTATTCGACATTTTAAGAAAAGGTTATCTTTCCTTCGCCTCCAGAAAAACAAAATCAAATCTATTCCGTACATTTTTTCGGGATAAAAAGTAGCCTTTGTAATATTGTCATGTATGAGCTATAATATTGTAAAGTTTCTTTAAAATCAATTTAGTATTTTTTGCGTGAAAGAGTAACAAACATTCATACCTCTACACATCCTGACATACATCCTCACAAACTTTCACATTTATAATAATATTAGTAGGATCAGTATTGTACGCTACCTGATAGAAATAAAATTTGTTGATGAGTGTGACATTTCCTGTTTCGTTGAAGAAAAAGCTGTTATTCAGCTCCAAGCTGCAGTTAATACAACTCTCTTCCATGACCGTGCTCTTCACATTTTGCTCTTATATATACCTGTAACAATAATTATAATTTATAAGTAAGGCTTTTAGGAACATTTATCAATAATTATAGCTTAGATTTTTCTAGAATAATTTATCTACTTCCTGCCTTTATCATCAGACCCTCATCATTAAGTGTAATGTATTGGATTGGTCAAACCAAATTAAATGAGACTAAATCAAAGGGTTTATTAGAAGCTATTGAAGCGCTCCGCAATCCACTCGAAAATCAAATTAGATCGATGATATGAAATGATTATGTCTCAAATTATACATCTTTCACCTCATATTGAACGCTAGAAATTTATTTCATTTTTTTTCTATCACTCTCACCGTTAGTAACTTATCTAGATATTTTTTAGAATTTAAACTTTTCTCTCCTTGCAGGTGATTGATCACGAAAAATGTTTTATTTTTAGTTCTTAAATTACAAATTAAGGTTTTTTAATAAGACTTTCATGTAAATCTCATGATTTATTCGACAGGACGTTGTCTAACTTATTTTACTTATGTTCAACTTTTGTTAAAGCAGATCATGCGAATAAAATAAAAGCCTTTCTGTGTTTTTGGAACAAATGGATTCCACGTGAATGCACAGGTATGTATGTATATTAGACATGTATAGGATACAAAAATATATTTCGTTACTTTTGTTTTATCTGTATGCTTAACGTTTAAGCTTTAGGTTAAGCCATATTTAAAATCTACACATATAATAAAATTGTAACTAAGCCGAATCTGTACATTAAATATTTTCTAGAAAATCCTATTGAAATAAACATTATTATTGATATAGAGTCTGAATATAGTTTTTAGAATTTTTGTCTGTCTGTCTTTCTGCCTGTCTGTCCGTCTGTTACTAGTCAAATATAAAATTATATTGATAACAAGAAAGAAGTCGCCTAATTAACATTCATTTTCAAGATATTTTATGAATTTGCTTAACTTATTTTAATTAGACAATATAATGTGTTCAATATATTGTGTAGTGTATTTTAATATAAAAAAATAAAACCATGGGATTCATGAAATAAGTGATGAGTTTTTTTTGTCTCCGGGCTCTTTATGTAGGAGAGACTCCATTATACTAAAAGAATTTACTGAGATTTTTATCAATTTGAAATTTTATCAGTACAAATATATTATATTGCGACTTTGCTACTACGCTATTTGGAAATGCCATGATTGTCTTAATATTTATACTAATATCATGAACTTTGTATAAGTTTCTATAAAACATTCTTTTTAAACCTACTATTCATTGCTTTGATTACTTTTCGTATATTTATTTTAGCTAGTTATTCCTTATTTCCCTTGCATGGTATGTCAATAAAAAAATATTAAAGGATTTTGTTTTACCTTTACCTACAAAAAACGACAGTGGTAGTCCAGTAGTAAAGCATTTGCTGGGAAAACCAAGTGAAGTAGGTTCAAATCTTGCACCTCTAATATTCTCATGTGCGAATCATTTCCAATATCATCATGCAGGTTGTTGAAGCACCATTAAGCTATTTTAAGTTGATTGAATAACATAACCAACGTAATGCTCTTTTTTTCTGTCAGGCGTCGTTTTATATTGTCATGTGTAGCACAGAGGGTGATTTTAAATTTCTATTTTTCTTAATAAATCGTAAGACTGCGGCTGTTCAGTCATAAAAGTTTTAATTTTTCATTTATAAATTCCAGTAAAACTCCCCTATACGCGCACACAGGTTCCCTGAGGAAACCTGCATGTCTCAAAAAACTTAGCAAATTTTTGAAAGACTTATGTAAAGTCCGCCAGCACTTGGCCGTGCGCGGGATGGCCTGATCCCCCTCGTATTAAAAGGAAAGTGGGACCTTAAAATAGGCACACACACCTATAAAAGGTTATAAATCGCAATAAACTATTTAGCGTTTTATATTATTTTATTATTTTTATATATCCGCGAATGGCTATTTGAAGACGTGTAATGTTTCAGTTAATTGTAAAAATAAAAACACAACTATTTTTCTTTATTTGCTTGTTTTTACTACAAGTAATGTTTAGACTTCGGCATTTCGATTATCACATGGTTTTATCAATAGAAAAAAGTCACCAGATCATTCTTTACTTTCAATGCTAAGCTAGAACTTTAGTTAACAATTTTGTTTGTGTGGCGAGATTTATATAGTACATAAATCTGTACAGCTTTGTACCTTCGGACACTTTACATTCGTTTCGTGATTCTCGTGATTTATGAAGATTCATGGTAATTAGGAAAGGTTTTTATGTATTTTATTAATGGTAATAGATTGGTTTAGAAGTAATACATGCTTCTAAATAAAATCGTAATCTCTTTTTGATTTAAAGCAGCAAAAGCTAGCTTACCCTTTGCTGCTAGTTATATATTGCTTACATTCAAAGTATATTTTTTTACTGAAGGCAGGTTTATTTTTAGTGCTCTATGTTTGATTCGCTGTTTATTTTTTTTAGTCT